CGCCAGAAGCGGCTTAGTCATGACCCAGAAGCTGTCTGTGGACAAACACTGGCCCCCTCGGCTTATAGAGCGAGGTGAGCGAGCAACCCCAGAGTCGTCCGTGACTGGACCTAAGGGTCAGGAGTCCCTTTACCTAAGCCCCACTGAGTTCAATAGGATTCACTGTCTGGTATGTTCCTGCTCATTCTCACAGTTTCTATTATTACTACTATTATTATTACTAATATTATTATTATAATTATAACTTTTTCCTTTCTTTTAGGAGTAACTCAAATGTCCCAGAGACTGAGATAATTTGCTTCTCTATGCAACTACAGCAGCCCAAGGAATATATGCCCAGAAATGGAGGAAGGGAGCGCTGTTTAATGTTTGGATAAGATATAAGGATTTGTTAGAAAATAAAACCCCAAGGTGGCAGTCACCAATGGAAGCGAAAGCCTTGAAAAAGCTCAATATGGAGGTCAAATGGCCGAAATATTGGGAAATTTTGGAACAAGATGGAGATAGACTGAAATTGCAGAGTTTTGAAAAAGTAAAAAACAAAGTGCGAGACTGGCTTCATTATTTTCAGATAATGGAGGTATTTAAATTGGACAAGAAAATTGGCTTCCAGGTGGAAAAATCAAAATTAGAAACTGAACTGTTAGAACCCAAAACTAAGAATTTGTCAAGAATGTATAACTTGCTGCTGAAATGGAACACTCAGGATGAAGCGGTAAAATCGGCTATGATTAAATGGGCACAAGACGTTGGACATAACATTATGTTCGCTGACTGGGAACAGTTGTGGACCACAAGTATGAAATTTACGGCATGTAATGCCTTAAGAGAGAATATTATGAAAATGATATACAGGTGGTACATAACCCCAGTCAAGCTTGCAAAAATCTATCGTTTGCCCGATAATAAATGTTGGAAATGTAAAGAAACTGAAGGTACATTTTTTCACCTTTGGTGGACGTGCCCAAAGATTAAGGCTTTCTGGGAAATGATATATAATGAATTAAAAAGGTATTCAAATATACCTTCCCTAAGAAACCAGAGGCCTTTCTCCTGGGCATGGTCGGCCAAATGGTGATAAAAAGGATAGAACTTTCTTTATGTATGCAACAACAGCAGCAAGAATACTCATCGCAAAGTATTGGAAAACACAAGAACTTCCCACGCTGGAGGAATGGCAGATGAAACTGATGGACTATATAGAACTGGCGGAAATGACTGGCAGAATCCGTGACCAGGGAGAAGAGTCGGTGGAGGAAGATTGGAAGAAATTCAAAGATTATCTACAGAAACATTGCAAAATTAAAGAATGCTAGAGTGATGTTGGATTGAAAATAAGTGGTTTCCAGCTGTACAGGATTCAAAGTTATAGATAGACTAAGATTAAAGATTAGGCTTAAAGAAGTTTAAGGAAATGGAAATTTGGTATTTAAGAGGTAAAATTTTAATGCTATATTATATTAAGATTAAAGATTGGGATTAAAAAAGTGGAAAAGAAATTGCTGGACAAACAATTTGGACTGGAATACAAAAGAGGGAGGTATGAGGAGGTCCAGAAAATAAGTAAATTTAAAAACGGAAATGAAAAGGTGATATTGTTTTTAATTGTTCTGTTTCTTTTTTGTTTTGTTTTTTGTCTTTTGTGTTTTTTTCTTCTTTGGATTATGTACTGTGTATTTGTGTATTTCTTTTTATGTTTTTCTGTTTAATCTTTTACTGAAATCTCAATAAAAATCATTAAAAAAAAAAAAGAAATGGAGGAAGGGAGCAGTACCAACAACGGAGGAATGGCAGATGAAAATGATGCAAAAGGGTATTATTATGATTTGTTGGAAAAGAATATGTAAGGAAAACAATAAAAATTCATTTATAAAAAAAGAAAATGATGCAATATGCAGAATTGGCAAGCCTAACCAGTCAAATAAGAGATCAAGAAGAAAGGGTATTTAAGGAAGATTGAAAAATGTTTGTAGAATATTTGAAAAATCACTGTAAACTGGTTAGAACGTTAGCAGGTTTAGAGTAAATCCAGCAGTAAAATATATGTTGATGTAATAGAGAAAGGGAAAAACCTGGAATAGAATACGCAGCAGTAAGGGGTAATCAGAAGGAACCATGGGGGGGGTGTTAATTCAATCTTTTGCTTTGTTTATGTTATCATGAAAAATTATAAATAAAACTTTAAAAATAAAATATTTTTTTATTTAATTCCATTTATCTGTGGAAGGTGGTGTAATTGGCTCAAGGGGACCAATGTACGTAGGTGTGCATATGACATCTATGTATATAGTGAGATCAAATGTGGGAGAAGCCTTCTGATATATAATTAGATGTCCCTATTTTCATTGGAGAAATGTTGGGGCGTATGCATTCCATCATCAGTGCCTAGACTAGGATTTCTTAAGTGTTTACACTCTCTCACACAGGCCAGACCGGCAAAACTTGTTCTGGGTTCCAACCATGTGGGCAAAGATGTGACTCAACAGGGCCATTCAGCTACTCTAACCTGTTTTGGATGCTGTTGCTTAAAGAGACCAATATTAAGCAACAACTAAGAGAAGAATAGAACTCACTGGCAATGACTCACATGGATCTGGGGCGGGAATTTCCATGCTTCCTTTTCCCTCTGTATGCTTTCCACACAAATGCACACTCCCAAGCCTCTGCTGCTGATACTAGGCTTGGATTATTGCATTAGATTATTGCATCCTTGGCAGATAACCCTGGCTATGCAGGAATATGTCAAATGAAAAGAGATGTTCACACACTCTCAATATACGTGTATCACCTTGCCACTCCAGATCCACTCCACTTTGCAATTCAAGTGCAGAAATATATGGAAGCAATATAGCAAGCAAGCGACAACAGTTGTGATTGACCAATCTCTCCTTTCTGCAGAGGCACTAGGAACGCCTGGAAAAGAAGAGCCCTGCTGGATCAGACCAATGGCCCATCTGGTCCAGCATCCTGTTCTCATAGTGGCCAGTTTTTCTAAAAAAAATAATGTTTAGGGGTACTCTCATTTCCCTACTCATTTTGAAATACTGCCCCTCAATGAGGCCAAATTTAGATTCACAAAATGCTTAGGGGTATGCGCACCTCTGTATTCCCCCAGAAAAAAAGCACTGATAGTGGCCATCCAGATGCCAAAATGGGAAGCCTGAAATACGAGTGCCCTGCATGTCTACAGTGAATGTTCTGTGTGGGTTAGTTCACACAGAAGTATTTGCTCTTTTAAAACAAACAGACATAACCTGAGAAATAATCTAATGCCAGATCCAGGTGCTCTTGGAAGCAGCAAATTTTGTAGCTCCCTTTCTATCAGGGTTCAGGCCTGGTTTTGGCACAGAAACTGCTTTGGTTGGTGACTGGAGAGCGCATGAAAACGCAGAGATGCCGGAGCCAGCGAAGTCAGTGCCGGCTTCCAAAAAGGGATCCAAGAAAGCTGTGACGAAGACTCATAAGAAAGGCGATAAGAAGCGGAAGAAAGTTAGGAAAGAGAGTTATTCTATCTATGTCTACAAAGTTCTGAAGCAAGTTCACCCGGACACTGGCATTTCATCCAAAGCCATGAGCATCATGAACTCCTTCGTGAATGATGTTTTTGAGCGCATCGCTGGGGAAGCCACCCGCTTAGCACACTATAACAAGCGCTCCACTGTCACCTCGAGAGAGATACAAACGGCTGTCCGGCTCTTGCTGCCCGGGGAGCTGGCTAAACACGCTGTCTCCGAGGGCACGAAGGCTGTCACCAAGTATACCAGCTCCAAGTAAATTACCGTCACTCACTGCAACCTAACGGCTCTTTTAAGAGCCACCTATTTTTTTCATTAAGAGAGCTTTACGACACTTCTATCCCCTACTAAAAGTTTAATGCAGTTTAGTAATCTGCAGTTTTATAAGAGTAGATTAATAAATGAGCAAATTAAGTTAAATTTGGATATGCAGAAGATATTACAGTTAAATTTAAGGAGCCGCAGAATGGGGGAAGGAAGTTTTGAAATGCTTAAAAAATTGTGAAGTTGGTGAAATGTATAAATCTGAAAGCATATATATATATATATATATATATATAGTTTAATGCAGTTTAAATATAAACCATCTCCCCTACTATATGCAGTAGTTAAAAGCTAAATGACCAATAAACAAATGATCGAACAAAGCAGATACCCTAGAGCTCCTTTCATATGATTCTCCTGCGGTGAATAAATTTTACTTCGTTGTGTCCCAGATGAAATCTTAGTTTTATATGCACAGAAAGAATGACTGATAGTTGCAGAAAACCGAAAAAAAAAAAAAAAAAAGAAACTGCTTTGGTTGCCTTGCATGATGACCTTCGTCAGGAGATAGAGGAAATATGTCCTTAGGTAGCAACATGAGAACAGGTCTTTTCTGCAGTGACTCCCCAGGGAGGTTCACTTGGAGCCTTTGGATGATTAATATTCTACAGCCTTTTAAATGTTTGTGGGAGGGTAAGGCTTTGGAAAACACCTGCCTGAAACCCTGTAGATTTGCTGCCAGTCAATATAGACACAAACTCAAGTTAGATTTGGTCTGACTAAAGACTTGTCCACACTTCCGCTAGTGCTGCACTTAGAATGCATGGGTCAGAGCAGTTTTCCACTTGAACCATGCTTTCTAGGTGCAGGTTGGAGCAGTTTTCCCTCTGACAAGATCCTTTCCAATGGAAAATCCACTCTTTAGTGATAGATTGGAACAAATGACAATCCAGGGAAAACCCAAATTGCTGTTTGCTCTGATTGAGCACTAATATGATTACCATATTTGCTAGGGTGAGCGGCTAGGAAGGAAAGGGTTCCTGCATTTTTAAGAGTTATGCAGAATGGAGATGTGGGGTTGTAAAGGCTAACAAGAGGAAAGGGCTTTTGGTCCCATACCCTGCAAGTTCTTTTTCCACTCAGAGAGACTCCTAGAGTTTCTGCCACAGCTTGTATTATTAGTTCCAGCCATAGTTTGGAGGAAAAAAGAAGAAAATCCGAAACCATCAGATAAATTCTTTATTCAGGACCAAATAAACTGCACAAAATGATAAGCAAGTTTTTCAAAACTATTCATTGGACAGGATGTTAAGCAACGAAACAGTGAAAAGGGAGAGGAATAGAGAAACAGTCGGTGAATTACAGTTCCTAGGATTTTTTGAAGAAAGCCATGACAGTTCTAAGAGTATGACCTTAGGGCAATCTATAGTGTAGATTTAAGTCCAGGTAACAGTTAATAGAAACTGATGTCTGGGGGAATTGTTTTTTTTTTTAAATCCTTACAACTTTACTGAGCATACAGTAGGTGGTTGTACATTTCCAATTGTAGAATTAAGTTCTACAAATTTAGCATATGGATTGCACCAGCACTTTGTTAGTAAGTAATTTTGTATGTGTAAAAATACAACTGTTTATAAAAGCTACACTGCCTCCTAGAATTTATTCCATCTAAACTTGGAACTCTTTCTAGGGAATTGTTTTTCAAGTATGTTGTTAACATTATTAATCAAAGAAACATTGTATCTCCAGATCGTTGTGTCCCTAATGAGGTATTTTCCAGGGACCTCTTTTTCAACATACTGTCTGCAATGATAAAGAATTGCAATCTCTTTGGGAACTACCAGCGTCTTACTATAACCTTTGAGAATGGTGTGGACTGAAGTCTGAACCACTGCTCTTGGATTAACGATCATCTTTCTCTGATTACTAAACTTCAGTTTAATGGGCTCTCTGTAAATATGCTGCAGTATATTAGTTCCTGGGACCATTTTCCAGGATGAAATGTTGAGTGTGTCTGTAGAGGAAAAGATATGCTGAGGAAATAAATGGTTCTCAAACAAGAAGATGCCTGTCTCTGGATTTCGATCCTCAAGATCGCTTATCATTGTTTTCCAACTCAGATGCTTAATGGGTAGGATAATTTCATCAATGTCATTAAGAACCACATATTTGCTCCTGTACATATTGCGGTAGATGCAATCATTTAGGACTGTAGCTTTCCCATAGTCCCAGTCTTTGGAAGAATACCAGAAAGAAGATAAATTAACATATGAAAAAATTGGCCATGGAATAATATCCATGGTACCTTCTGCAACATAAAATTCCAATACTTTCTCTATGAGTTGGCTGCAGTTGTACATGTAGACCAGCACTTTCTGTGCACCAAGAATTTTATACATTTCCATGCTTTGTATGAACTGCAAGACATTGCTGTAGTTTCCAAACATGACAGGGAGACAAAGGGTGAATTCAGCAGAAAATGAATCCTTGGGCACACGGTTCTTAATTTCAAACCTTGGTAGCTTGTCGATCTTCCCTCTAGGAGATGAATGAATTGACACGTATTTTGGAGAGCACTTTCTGGGTTCCAAGCACACGATATCTGCTGGACCAAAAGGGAAATCAGTTCTATCCAAGTGAATGTCTATGGCTGCTCTTATTATGGTGACATGGCCATCATGACTACAGCAAAACCAACAATAAAGGTCCTGTATTTTCTTGTAGCGCACTACTGCGATCACACGAGTTAGGTTTCCTTCTCTGTCATCGTGATACGGTGAAATGATAAATGTTTTATTATATTTTAAAGCTGTTATTGTATCATTGGCAATCTCACCTTTGCAGAGATCCGTTGACTGTATTGTTTGTGGCAGCAAAGGGGTTTGCATCAGCCACAAGTATGCTTCAAAGGACAGTAAAATTAGAAAAGAAACTACCACCATAAAATTGTTTCTTCTACAGAAATACATCTTTAACTCCTGGCCTTGCAACAAAGTGCCTGTAACTGAAATGGAAAAGCAGGGAGAGAATGTTATTATCAACTTACTCAAAACCAAGAAACCAATTTTAAGGATAGACTTAGAAAGATGCTTAACAAGGCCTTAAAATATTGAATAATTGTGACACTGGAATACATGCCAACTCATAATGATGATATGTGTGATCAGCTCTCCCATATATGAAATATCTTCTCAGTGTGTGCTTGAAAGGAATCCACACTCCCTAACCATAAATCAGTCCAGTTTAGTTCCTCACACTCCTACTAAGGGGGACTTTGCTTTGTCCTCCTGGAGAGGATGGGAGTGGGGAGTGATTTAAATAAGCTTCCCTTCTGCTATAAATGGCCCCTCCTTTACTTTCTGTATCTCCTCCCCCCTCCCCAACACCAATAAATGTGGGATAATTCTTCTATACTGTACAGTACTGTATTGACAAAGAGACAATATAATCCCTGCCCAAAAAACACAAGTTACTCCACCTTTATAGATGAGCTCTCTGACCCATGTTAAAAAGCTATCCCTTACCCCAAAGAAAAAGTTATTAGCTAGCCCCATACTTATTTATGTGGGTTTCTCTCATTCCCCCTCCTAGTCTGAGAAATACCTCTCAACTCTTGCAAATTCGGGATTTTCTGTCTCTCTCCCCCCACCACCAGCACCTATTCATAAAGGGTTCCTATCCGTTTTCCTTTCAAAATGGCGTTTGGTCATTCCTGCTACTATTAATAAAGTTACCACACGCTCCCCAAACTGGTAAGGGGATGGCACCCCCCACTCCATTAATATGCGCGCTTCCCTTCCTTGTTCATGGATCCAGGACCCCCCCCCCCCCAATATACAAAGTGTGTTTGTGGTGGGGGGGGGGCTGTTTCCCCAACTGTAGAAGGTTGTTGTGATCTGCTCTCCTCTCCCCCCATAACGAGGGAGCGTATTTTTCACCAACTTGGGTCGGGGGGGGCGGTTAGAATTACCTCTTATACAAGGATTTGCCACGAAGGGGGAAGAAAGCGCGGTTTAAAAGAAACTTAAGACCTGCTCCTTCCTGCCCTCCTACCTCCCAGCACTTTAAGGCCTCTGAAAGAAAAGGCGGGAAGCGTCCCTTTAACTGCAGCCTGAGGGGATTTTTTAAATTTTTTTTTTTAAGGCTGCAGTTAAAGGGACGCTTCCCGCCTTTCCCCCCCTCTTCAAGTCATCTTTCCCCTGAAATGGCTCCTGGGCGAGTGCGATGGAAAGAAAACGGACATATCTCTCTAGGGAGCAAAAAACAACAACACCACAAATGAACAATTTTCTTCAAGGTAACAGTTTAAAATAGATCAAGAAGTTAACTGTTTTTAGACTGTGAATATGGCCTCCCCCACATGGCGCACGCGCACCAGGAGTGGGGAACCCTGCCCTTAAGATAGCAGTTTAAATAGATTAACGTGTGTAACGGCGACGGTGGATAAACGGATCAAGCAGATAACATTATTATTTATCTCATTTCGCTCTGGTGGTTTAAATCTGGGGGCCCTTTTCTGTTCTGCCCTCAAAATGTAGCCTCTCACTTCCCCTCCATCTGCCCCTGTCCAACCACTGTATTGTTTTAGAGATCATTAATGCGTATTGATTTTTTCAGCCATATAATATGCCTTTTGTGTTAACTGCAATGTTTAGTTTATTTTTCGTTGTTGTTTTGTTAATAGTGTTTTACAGATTGTAATTGTTGATGTTTTCTTAATCTTTTATAGGACTTGCAATGTATTTGCAATGCTCTGTTATTGTTATTGTTCTTGATTGTTTGTAAGCTGCTTTGAGATTCATTTGAATGAAAAGCGGCATAGAAATACAATAAAATAAAATAAAATCTGTTCAAAAAGGGGATGGGGAAGGCAGTTGGAGTCTTTAAAAATCCCCTCAGAAAAAAGAAAGAAAGCCTGAGGGGATTTTTAAAGCCTCCAACTGCCTTTCCTCAGGGTGGGATGGGAAGAAAATTGAGACAAACTCTTGGTAAAACCTGCCTTTTAAATAACAGTTATAATGATGGTGATGAATACGTAACCTATCGGTTTCTTTTTATAAAAGTAGCTCAAGGCATCTTAAAACATGCACATGAAAACCAGCATAAAACAAAACACATAAAAATCTCAAACACCTTCATATTTTTAAAAGTCAGTAGGACTAAAGCATTCTACCCACCGATAATAAAAGAATCATAGAACATAGAGTTGGAAGGGATCCTAAGGGTCATTTAGCCCAACCCCCTGCAATGCAGGACTCTCAAAGGGCACTTTCCTTACTTTGTAGGACCCTTCCCCAATGCCATAAGGTATAAATATTTAGATTTAGGGTTGGCAGCCACTAATCTGAGTCACCCAGCACTATAGAGCACAGTAGGGGTAGGCCTCAGGCGGAAACAGGTCAGTTCCCAGTCTTCAATCATTCAGTATTCCCACCCTAAATCTACTTTAATAATTTGACTGAAAGGATTAATGCATTCACCTTGATAAGCCTGTTTGGACTTCCCCCTCTCAGAACACTCAGAGTCACTTAACCAAAACACTAGTTTTATTTATTGTAACCCATAAGAAGATCCATGCTGTATGAGGCCAAAGGTTAATCTAGTCCATCCTGTTTTTGTAGTGGCCACTTAAGATGCCTCTGGTAATTCGCACTTGTGATTCCCGGTAACACATTCAGAAGGCATGGTGCCTCTGAAAGTGAAGGGAGAATGCAAAGTATAATTTAGCTACAGAAATAAAAGAAAAATGATGCCCAATACTTGCCTATAATTGGCACAGTGAGAAAACAGTGTTTACTAGGTTACAGAAAAACTACACATGAACAGAAGGAGCTACCTTATGCTGAGTCAGACCTTTTTTAGAGCAACATTTCTGTGTCTTTTGTATTGGTGGAACCCAGAGTTGTCCAGTCATGTTGAATGGTGGGAGATTCAGGATGGAGACAGCATACAATTAAACTATGGAATGTATTAACACAAAGATGTGCTGATACTCACCAACTTAAGACTGCTTAAAAAAGTATAAAGCAAAAGGGGAATGCCTGTTTCTCTTTCAATATAATTTGTTCTAGTCAGGTCAAGTCAGGAGTGTATTTAGGGGTTGGCCCCTAAGGTCGCAGGCCAAAAACTGGCTCCATTGCCGCAGCCCTGCAAGACCCCCTCCAGTTGGCCAGTGGCGCTTTTAGTTCCTTGCCAAGAGTGAAACCACCATCCCAATTTGCCTTCATACAATGGAGAGACCTGCATTGTCCCAGACTCGTACAAGCCTGGGTGAAACCACCTCAGCTCTTGAGGTGAGAGCTGGAAAAGTTTCACCTGGTGTATTGCGGGCAGAGGCCAATGCAGAATGTTTTTTCAACATTGCAGTATACCACCAAACCACAGTGTTTGGCTGGCGACACATTGCAGTGTTGAAAAGCTGATATCGTCCAGCCCTAAACTATGGGAACAGAGACACATTGCATCTGGATACTAGTCTCTCTCAGAGGACGAATAGCAGGAGAAGGCTATTGCACTTACGTCCTGCTTGTGGGCTTCCCGTAGTCACATGGGAGGCCACTTCAGCAGGCCTTTGGTCTGTTCTTAGTTTTCCCGGAGAAAACATTTTATGTACATAAAACTGTAACCAACCAGATGCCTTTGGAAACCCGCATGCAGGACATTAAAGAGCTCTCTCCTAACATCCCCTACACCTGAAATTCAGTGGCATATCACTGTCAAAGTTCTGTTCAAAGTATCATTGAGTATAGTGCTACTCAAGAGCTGTGTGGAAATTTTGACAGCTTCACTTGACACCAAGGATCACTTCTAATGTTGTTTTTCCCTATTCATGTTTTTTTTGGGGGAGGGAAGCATGTAGTGCAGGGGTCAGCAAACTTTTTCAGCAGGGGGCCAGTCCACTGTCTCTCAGACCTTGTGGGGGGCTGGAATATATATATTTTTTGGGTAAATGAACGAATTCCTATGCCCTACAAATAACCAGAGATGCATTTTAAATACAGTGGTGCCCCGCAAGACGAATGCCTCGCAAGACAAAAAACCCGCTAGACGAAAGGGTTTTCCGTTTTTCGATGCGCTTCGCTGGACGAATTTCCCTATGGGCTTGCTTCGCAAGACAAAAATGTCTTGCGAGTCTTGAGATTTTTTTCGCTTCCCCCCCTTTTTCTAAGCCGCTAAGCCGCTAATAGCCTTTTAGCCGCTAAGCCGCTAATAGCCGCTAAACCGCTAATAGCGCTAATCCGCTAAGCCGCTAATAGGGTTGCTTCGCAAGACGAAAAAACCGCTAGACGAAGAGACTCGCGGAACGGATTAATTTCGTCTTGCGAGGCACCACTGTAAAAACACGCATGCTACTCATGTAAAAACATGCTGATTCCCGGACCGTCCGCAGGCAGGATTTAGAAGGTGATTGGGCCGGATCTGGCCTCCGGGCCTTAGTTTGCCTACCCATGATGTAGAGAATTAACTATAAAATGCCAGCAAATTTGTGTGAACAGCTTGATGAAAGTCTTAGCAGCTTTTGCCTGATTATTTTCCTCCAACATTTCCTAGTTTTATTTATATTTTGTTCTTGTCAGGCTTTATGGAATTGTCTTTTATTCTTCAGAACCTCAACAGAAACAAATTCAACTTTCTGAACCCTGGAGGCTTCTGCCAATACCCATTGCAGTTTCAAATATAAATTTCACTGATATCACAAAGGATAGAAGCCTTTTATTTTTAAAAAACTTCTTGTTTTTTCTTAAGTTGAAATCCTCAAGAACACCAATTCTGCAAAGTTTTTAGGTTTTGGAAACTCTTGGGCAAGTGGACCAACTGTCTCTGAATCGGGGCCGTCTCTTCTTTAACCCTGCCACTGCTGCCCATTTGCTTCCCCACTTTCCGCCCAATCCACTCAGCAACTAGGAGGGGGAGTGCAAAGCAAGTTGGGCGTGCTGCTCTGTATCCTCACTTAATGTAGTTAGTTGTACACTCATTGAGGGCAGCAACATCAAGGGGGGAAAGCAGCAGGGCCCGAAAGTTCTTGATCAGCAAACATCTCCTTTAGGAATGTGGGCCTTGGTAAGAGCCTGACAGTGCTAACTAGGCCTCCCCAGACTTTTTTATCTGCACCTGGTAAACAACAACCTATTGCATGTGAGTAGCTGCTAGTGGAAATCATGCCTTTGTGTTACTACTTTGGGGGGGGGGTGATGAGGATGAGGGTACTGCTGCTGGATGACTGCTTGTGGATGTGAGAGATTGGATGAGCTGGGCAAGGGGTGTATGTGTGTTAGTTAACCTGGCTCCCAAGCGAAAGGTGGAATGCTGGGGAGCTGCATGTTAAGTGACAGCATGGCTGCTGTTGACAAATGCACAACCAGTGTAATTGTGATCTGCTATTTTATATTAATTGCATTTTTCTTTTATATTAATATGTTCATAGCTTTGGGGGCCTTTGGGTCAAAAAGCAGTTATAAACCATGCGTGTAAAATATGTGCTAAAGAAAGAAAACTATATTTTATTTTTACATTAAAGTTTTTAATTAGTGAAACAATTATCATCAATGTAACAAGCTGAAAAATACAGCAACCTGATAGAAGACTGAGGTAACAAAATACTGTGCCAAAAACCTAAAAGACTCCCACACAAGAGTTAAAAGTTCAGTGGTTATTATGAGAGACAATTCACAAGATTTTTTAGAAAGAGGCCTTACACAAATGGCATGCAGTGGGCTGCTGGAATACAGCTAAAAGTAAAAACAAAATAAAATAGTGCAACAGTTCTCACAAGAAACAAATTGAAATATAGAAATTGGTTTACATCACAATGTGACAAATGGGTCAAAAATTGAATACTATTGTCTATACCTTGACTGAGTGCTAATTGGAAAAACATGCATTTTGGCACTAAGTTTACTTTTAAATTACATACACGTTAATAAATTAATAATAAATAATATTGCTCAATACAGCTAAACAAATCATTAACAGTCATCCTGAAAATAATTTGATAGGGACCCTTTTGCAGAATAGCTGAACAAAAAGACTAGCTTTGTACAATTATCACTGTTCACTAGGACCTGATCCAGTAATCTGTTCTGGGCATAGGAATACTGATGTGCAGTATGGGGTTATCTCACCTGCACCAGCACCACTATTTATTTCAAAGGACAAAGCCAATTTGCCTTTGCACACGTGGATCTGTTGCCACCATTGAAATTATTTGAACTGTTTTCAAGCACAAGAGCTGAGTGTGAGTTTGTGTGTATTTTTACACGCACACACACACACACACACACACACACACACACGCCAGGGCACAGTTTTTGTGATATGCTTTGAGGGAGGTGGTATTTTAAATAGTACCAATATGCATCACTTGAATTCACAGTAAAAGGTGCACACACACAAAAATCAGTAGCTAAGTAGAGCTTCATGCTTTTATAGGACAAGAACCATTTAAATGTGGATTATGCTAATAACAATTTCCATATACTGTACTAACACTCGTTTATTTCATCTTCTCAAAACACTGCAGCAAAGATGCTTATATTGCTGAATACTGCATCATATCACCATTATCACACAACTCATTATTGTACAACTTTCCATGTCCATATACAACAAATCAAAATCATGGCCAGCCATTTGCATCACTGGTTCTTGCTTTCTTTTCTTAAAAACAAAAACAAAACATTCCAAATGCAGATTTGCAGAGGGACTTTCAAGTAGCTTAATTCCAAGAGATTTCCCCCCTCTACAGATGCATGCAAGTTTCATTCATTACAAAAGGAGATTTCCCCTCTCATGGGTGTCACCATGACAAGTGTTATTTTCATTAATGCAATGTCATTATCAAGGACTGTGCTGATTTCTGATCCAAATTCCTTTGGATTGAGGTGCTTGATGTAAAAGGGTGGAAGCTGATGAGATTTGGGAGGCATTTTTCTTGTGATGTGGGGATTCTTCACAAGCCAAAATATTTTCCCTTGTTTATCCAGTAAGTAAAATATAAAGCAAAATACAGATCTGCTTTCTGTAAGTGTTTGTTCTGAAAGAGTTTTGCAGCCAAATACCACACATTCTTACTTAGAAGGCCCACTAGATTCAATGGGACTTATTTCCTCATAATTTACCTAGTTTTCCAGCCTTCATGGTTGACAGCTGTTTCTGTCCACTCAGAGGCATCTAATAAACTCCCTTTGCCTTCAGTAGTGTATGGTTTTTGGATGTAGCCACTGTAATTTCAGTTTGTGGTTCACACTGACTTATGAACAAGCCAGTAAGTGTAAGCATTTATTATTTAGGTTTAAATGTTGCTCTTCTGACTAACTGTGAGCACCTGGATTACTGATGAATCATTATATAACTAGGTCTTGGAACTTATTCTGAGCAGTTCAAATTTATTTTGCTTCAAATATGTTTTGACGAAAGAGCTACAGTTTGTATTCTAACCAATGCATATTTTAACCCCTAAGGGACTGAGGTAAAAATTACCATACAGATTGTTCTTCTCCATCCAATTATTTGATTGGTAGGCAACCCAAACACCACTGTTTTTCCTTAAGCCATTCGTTGACAATGGAGTCACTAAATTATGCATGTCATAATTCCCTTTCTATAGCATTTGGTCTTTGGCAGCATGAGAAGGCCTAGTCCTTTTAACCATTTATTAGTTTCCCTGCGTCAGGTGGGTGCTCCTTGCATTTTTGGCATCCTTGGAAGTTACAAAGGATAAAATTCAGGCTGGGCTGTCAACGGCAAGGTCCTTTGATTTAATACAACTGTAGAAGTGATGATAATGTTATCCATGGTTTTGTAATGAGTTTCTGGCTTAAATACGGACATTTAAAACTTGAGTACATGCCTGGATGAGGCTAATTATTTAGTATAAAAGGATGGTGTTGGCTTTTCAGCATTAAGTAGGAGGTTTGGAGATCAGACTTTTGATAACCATCATTCAGCTGGCAAGATGTGTCTCTTTCTGCATCCTGCAGGTAGGTGGGATATTATCAGCACATATATGCAGAGAAGTTACAAAATCATACACCTTTGCTTTTGATGGCAAATCCAGATAAATGTTCTTCTTGAAAAAACAATCCAAACATGTAAACTCCATCTCTCTGTACAAGAGAACCCTTCAAAATTGTATCCCAACACATTATGAGATGGTGATGCCTGAAAAGAGAATTCCATTCATTGGCCGATGATAAGAGTTTGTTGATAGACCTATAGATATCCTATTACAACTACCTCACTCTCATGAATTTAGCTTTTGGATTGGCAAGAAAGCCAGCTGTGCAGCTCCCAACTGTAAAAAGGGTGTTTGGGGATACATCTTGCTGTAAAATTGCCTATCGCCCCTTTTGGGTAGCTTACTAGATTCAGTAACTAGGTTCTCTTTGACAGCCAGTTTCATACTGAATTTCAGTCTTAGATCCATGACACAAGCATACAACATAACATTTAAAAACAATACAGTCAACAGACACTGAACATTAAAGGAAATTATTTAAAATAAAAGATTAACAATATCCAATTAGATCAATAGACAGCATGCCCTTGCCAGAGCTTTCTTCAGATGCAGAGTTCTGTTAATCCGAAATGGCTTCCCATATTTATTAAAAGCTGTACCACTCAGTTGTAGTCTTGCAGATGTTTAGTGGCTGAGTGCTTACTGACTGCTATTCATATGTTAGGAAATGAGGGAAAGGGAGATAATCAATGTATTCTTTCCTTGCTGAATACAGCCTTAACACTGATTTTCTGTGAAAGAAAGGTATGTGAAGTATCAAAAAAGGTGGGCTCAGGAAGGATATACTGGCAACTGCCCCCCACCCCCAGAGAAAGGGAGAGGGTGTAACCCCTCATCCCAAGGCAGGAATGCTCTTGCAACTTAACTGATCGAGCAGATGCCCTGTGCCCCAGAAGACCCGGGGGCAGGTGACACACAGCTAGACATTTTTGATGAATAGCACCCACAGTAAAAAGAAAAACAAATAATTTAAGGCAAATATTTCTTTTTGGAGTGAAAGAACCCAGGAGGAGCGTTAACACCAACTGATTTTTCAGCAGCAAGAGACCCTTCATTTGCCTGGGCACCTGTAGTTAATTAAAACAAAGCAGCACAACCAATTACAAGAAACAAACACTAAATTGAAGGTGGTTTATCTTGTGCCAAAATACACATTTCTCAAATAGCTCAGGTATGAACATTGGTTTGTCCCTATGTTTGATACAAAATCTGAGGCAGCCACATTGCCAAGCAACTCAGTGCACTTAAGGTTATAAAAACGTTGTTCCACAATGTCCTATTCTAATTGACACTTTGCAGCAAAGTTAACACTGTCATCATTTTGTGCATTAGAAATAATTGAAAACCCAACATGGGCTAAATGTTCTTCAGTCACATAAAGCAGCTCAACAATAAAAAGAGCAGATAAAAAAAAAAATCCGCAGAAGATGTGATGCACAGTTTGTGGCAGAACAGAAATCCACGGTAGTCTGTGACCACAAAGCTAAAGTCAAGGATCCTGCACTAAGCAGGTTGTATCTTCAATCAGTCTAAATCACCTCTCTCATCAGTGCATTGAGTTAGATCCTGTCCTAAGGACAACATTCACTTTCTGCTTTTAGAAGCTGTGTCATAATTACTTTCAAGTTATATAAGAAAAGTGCTGAAGTCACTGTTACAGACAGCTGGCTCACTCTAGAGTCCCCTTCCTCCATTTTCCTGTGGGAATGATTTTCCCATCCTGCAGTTTGGCACTTGAAGTCACATCACATACTGGAGCACGTTATTCAAATGACATAAGGTTTGCAGGTACCTGGCAGAGAAAAGTAAACTGGTCAGTACAATGAATGGTCAGCCTATCATGGATGGAAGACGTCAGCTTCCCAAGGCAGTGCTCACGCAAAAAGAAAAAAAGGAAGTTATAAATTGGTTCTACATCTATAAAAGCTATTTATTTATTTAAACATAAGAAAACCAGAGGAAGTTGCATACACTAACAATAGTTTCATCAACCAGTAATGTATGATTAACAGCTTCATGCGTGGTCTGAGTGATTTGCTGCATGTTCTGAAATCATTAACCAGAGTGGCTGAGTTTGCTTTCTCCCCTCCTCACCCCAATCCCTTTTCTGTGGTGTAAATTGTAAGCCTGAGCGTGGGGACTTCTTTATTTTTTATATCTGAAAATGGTTCCGGACAGTGATATTTTTCTAGAAAAAGAGGTGCCAGAACTCACCATGAATGCCTCCCTTGTTCTCTTATAATGGCGCTCACCTGAGAGGTGCCAGAACTGAGTACTGGTGAGTTCCAGCTGAAAAAAAGCCCTGGCTCGGGAAGTCTTTTTGGCTGAAGAGCAGGGTAAAAATCTTCTCAGACCAAGAAGAAGAGTACTTTAACAGAGAAACCATGCGCTGCACACTGAATTAAATTTCCATATCATAAATTAAAATGTTTGCAATATAGTTAGTATTGCATAGTTAGCGAGTAGTTGGGCCGGGCTCAGGTCCTCTCAGTGCTCCTTATGTGTAAGGGGCTTTGGTGTAGCAACATCTCCTTCCCCTTGCCCCCTGCTCTAAAATGACATTCAGCTGCCAGAGTCAAGGAAGCAAAAGTGTGGTGTGCACGTGACACATTATTAGGCAGAACACCCTGGGGAGCACCAGGAAGAGTGCCTCTTGCCGGGAAGGGGGTGTAATAAAGCGTTTTTTAAAAGGGAGGGGCAAGGCGCATAGAGACAGGTGGGATCAAAGCATGGCGTGTCAAATTAACATCCCTCCCCCACAAGACATAAGAAACTGCATGAAGACATGGGACAGTGATTACCGGTATGTGTTGCCTTACCCACCAGCCATCACTTGCTGCTTGTTCTGCTCAGGGCAGATTCAAAAGTTTATATAGCAACTTTTTTAGTATGCAGTCCTGCAGAAAAGAGCAGCTCCCCTCACAACCCTCATGGATGAATACAAACAGCCAAGACCACTGTCAAGCCAGCTGCTTCCTCCTCTTCCCTCTGCCCCTGAAAAAGGCAGTCTGGAGGTAGCAGGCCCAAGGGTGCTGTAGCTGAGCTTGGTGATAAGATGCTGACATTGTTGCTGAGGGGTGCCAAAAAAAGGCCTTGCGACCTGTGTGTTGGGCTACACTGCTTTAAATATATAAATAATAGTTGTCTCCAACTATGTTCTACTCAGAGTAGACCCACTGAAATTAATGACTTAAGTTAGCCTTGCCCATTAATTTTAATGGACACACTTGAAATAAAACAAATATCGGTTACAATCCATACAATAATATTTTACAACCATTTGCAAACAATGCAATTTTGGGGAAACTTTGAGAGCTCAGATGCAGGTGGTGTAAGCACTCCTAATTTGCCTAGGGCTTTTGTTGTGGTTATAACCCTATTCAAAAAGTTTCCACATGGCTACTATTTTAGCTTCAAACAGAAACAGAAGAAAAACCTTACCTGAGGCCTGTTGCTTCTGCATGCGTCATCCAAATGTTTGTGCCACAGTATTGCATGAAACCTTGAACCAGTCTGAAACTTGTAAACATTGCCTACAAGTTAAAAATAAAAGGTAAGAAGGAGCCCTTGAGCTTTGGAAGAAACGGAACAAGATGCTGAAAGGTTTAAAAAAGCCAACAATTTATCTGGTAAGAGAGAAGATCTTGGTAATGACAAGTTTGGGTGACCACTGAAGAACCTTAGTCTGAAATGTCAGAGTACTCAAAAGAGTGAGTATGAATTGATCAGATCACCAACCAGTCTAAAAATCTTAACCAGCCTCCCTGCCTTTGTTTCTTCTGAGTAAAGCTGGTAGTTTAAAATTAATAATAATAATAATAATTTATTATTTGTACCCCGCCCTTCTGGCTGGGTTTCCCCAGCCACTCTGGGCGGCTTACAACAAAGACAAAAAATACACTAAAATGTCACATATTAAAAACTTCCCTGAACAGGGCTGCCTTCAGATGTCTTCTGAATGTCAGGTAATTGTTTATCTCTTTGACATCTGGTGGGAGGGCGTTCCACAGGGCGGGTGCCACTACCGAGAAGGCCCTCTGCCTGGTTCCCTGTAGCTTTGCTTCTCGCAATGAGGGAACCGCCAGAAGGCCCTTGGCGCTGGACCTCAGTGTCCAGGTAGAACGATGGGGGTGGAGACACTCCTTCAGGTATACTGGACCGAGGCCATTTAGGGCTTTAAAGGTCAACACCAACACTTTGAATTGTGTTCGGGAACATGTAGGTCTTTCAAGACTGGTGTTATGTGGTCTCAGCAGCCGGTCCCAGTCACGATTCTAGCTACCGCATTTTGGATTAGTTGTAGTTTCTGGGTCACCTTCAAAGGTAGCTCCACACAGAGCTCATTGCAGTAGTCCAAGCGGGAGATAACTAGAGCATGCACCACTCTGGCAAGACAGTCTGTGGGCAGGTAGGGTCTCAGCCTGCGTACCAGGTGGAGCTGGTAGACAGTTGCCCTGGAAACAGAATTGACCTGCGACTCCATGGACAGCTGTGAGTCCAAAATGACTCCCAGGCTGCGCACCTGGTCCTTCAGGGGCACAGTTACCCCATTCAGGATCAGGGAGTCCTCAACATCAGCCCGCCCCCTGTCCCCCAAGATCAGTACTTCTGTCTTGTTAGGATTCAGCCTCAATCCATTAGCCGCCATCCATCCTCCAGCCGCCTCCAGGCACTCACACAGGACCTTCACTGCCTTCACTGGTTCCGATTTGAAAGAGAGGTAGAGCTGGGTATCATCCGCATATTAGTGAACACCCAGTCCAACTCCCCGATGACCTCTCCCAGCGGCTGCATGTAGATGTTGAAAATCATGGGGGAGAGGACGGAACCCTGAGGCACCCCACAAGTGAGGGCCCAGGAGTCTGAACACTCATCCCCCCCCCCTTTCTGAACACGGCCCAGGAGGAAGGAGCAGAACCACTGTATAACAGTGCTCCCAGCCCCTAAAGACGGTCCAGAAGGATGTTATGGTCGATGGTGTCAAAAGCCGCTGAGAGATCCAGCAGAACTAGGAAACAGCTCTCACCTTTGTCCCTAGCCCGCCGGAGATCATCAACCAGTGCGACCAAGGCAGTTTCAGTCCCATGATGAGGCCTGAATCCCGATTGGAAGGGATCCAAATGGTCTGCATCCTCCAGGTGTGCCTGGAGTTGTTCAACAACCACCCACAGTTTAAGAATGTATTCAGTATTTACCTTGCTGGTTTATAAGAGCTGGGGGATATACTGTTTAGTGTGCTGAAGCAGGAGCAGCTTACTGACTCCTGCCTTGCCAGTTTTCATAGCAGGCAAGCTGGGCAGGCAATGAAATAGTGGTGGTACTTTAGGCAATTATGAAAGAATCTGAAACTTGTGTTGCGGGTGGAAACCCAGCACCTTTTTGTTGCTGAGGAGTGTTTAATGGAGGGTTGAGGAATTTTTTTCAACATGAGGTCTGTGTTCCCTTTGGGGGAACCTTCTGTGGGATCACATGTTAGTATGTGCAGGGCAAAAGCATACCCTCCAACATTTCTCCGATAAAAATAGGGACTCCATAGTAATAATTTTACGATTTATATCCCACCCATCTGGCTGTGTTGCCCCAGCCACTCTGGGCAGCTTTCAACGTATATAAAAACATAACAAAATATCAAACAAAAACCTTCCCTATACAGGGCTGCCTTCAGACGGCTCAGGGGTCAGATAACTCCAAACCCCTCCAACATTTCTCTTATGAAAATAGGGATTCCTAAGGAAAAGCAGGACGTTCCAGGGTCAAATCAGAAACTGGGATGGCTTCTGTAAATGTTATGTACTGAGTTGAGTAGGATCCAAAATGCAGTAGTCTGAATGGTCCTAGAACAATAGGATCCAAAATGCAGCAGTCTGATTGGTCCTAGAACAATAGGATTCAGAATGCAGTAGTCTGATTGGTCCTAGAACAATGCAGCAGTATGATTGGTCTGCAGGAGCCACCCAATCCAGCTCCAGATGGAAGTGAATCTACAACCTGATTGGCTTACAGGAGAATTCCAGAATTAGCCAATCACGTGCAGCCCATTGTGTAAATAATGTATATAAAGCAGATACCTCCTCACCACTATGAGCTGAATAAAGAGCATGAAATCCACTCTAGACTCTGAGTATATTTCAGTAAATCTGATACTGTCCCTGGAAAATGGAGACACTTGGAGGGTCTGCAAAAGTGGGCAAAGCAATGGATGTGACTATTACTTATGTACAGACATTCCAGCCACACAAAAGCCAGGGCTTCACACCCAAACACCCAACTTTCAATCCTTCATCCCAGCAAACATTATCAGACACATTTAAATGAGGCAAAAGCACTTAAGGAAGCTGTAGAGGAGAAGTGGTGAAGGGTGTGGCTTGGTGAGAGGGATGTGGCCTGCAAAGGGGAACAGCTTAGATAAGAGAGGGCTGGAAGATTGTATTCAGTCCTCAGACCTGATGTTCCCTACACCTGTTTTAACAGATCCTCATCGTTTCCTTTGAATTTTACAGTTTTGAATGTAAATTGAATTATAAACAGCATTTTTTCTGAATGCTCCCATGTGGATATATACCCGTTAGCCAAGGATAACACTTTATATTATCTGATGATGTAGATTCTAGTACAGTACACAGAAGCTTGTGCTACACGGCTTTTGGTTGTTTTAACAAAAGCATAGTAAATGATGGTGTGCGGTCATTGGATTAAGGGGACTAGGCAGTCCCCTAAATGTTCCCCTGGCGCCTCCTTCACAAAGCCTGGGAAGTTTCTACCCTGCTTAGGGAGGGAGGCATGATGCTCACGTGCGTGACGTCACATGCATGACATTGACACCCCACACAAGCTAGTGCCTCTGGCCTTAACCGTTCCCCTCTGAAAAATTTCACTGCATGCCACTGATAGGAAAGCTTACTGTTACTTAGCACACTTACTGTTCTGAAGAAAGTCCAATTAAAAATAAAACACCCACCTTTATCTGGGTTATTTAGCTGAAAAATATCAGGGTGTTCAGGGTCATCAGGCAGTGCTACCATCCAGCCCACAATAGAAACCTTTTTCCCCGGAGTAGATTTATACTAAAAGAGAGGAAAAAGTCAAGGAAGAATATCAATGAGCTGAATTGTGAAGTATAGGCGACTCCCCACTTATGCAGAGGTTGCATCCGGGCCCCTTATGCATAACTTAAATGTGTGTAAGTGGGGAGCACCCTTACGTAAGCAGGGAGTCCTTT